GCGAAGAGGAGGCCAAGAGTCTGAAGCTTTCATGTTAAACTAGGCTGACACGCATGCTGGAATACAGCAGCAGGTGGTCCAGTCGCCCCCCCTGCCCAACTCCAATAAGTTCCCATCCCAACCATCCCAAGACAGCGAGTCTGGCGATGCAGGCTTGTAAACAAAAATACATGCGGATGACGAGCAGGAGAGAAACATGTAGCGAGTTGGTTGCAATTAAAACAGTTTGCGTTGTCGGTAGTACACAGTGGGACTCGTCCGGTAGATGTGTCCCCTGCCGACGTGCCAAAATAGCCGCTGGCGTAAACTCTACTCGTGCTGCTTACCGAAAGAGCAGCTGCAAACAGGGCGTACACGGTGACGTAAAACAGCAGAGGTGTACATGAAAGACCTGGCGTCTGTGGTTGTGTGGAACCGCCTGGAAGAATTCCACCACCACCTCCCCACCTCACAACAGCCAGGAGGGGAGTGGAGGAGGAGGAGGAGGAGGAGGAGGAGGAGGAGAAGGAGGAGGGGAAGAGGAGGGGGAGGGGGAGGAGGAGGAGGAGGAGGAGGAGGAGGAGAGGAGGAGGAGGAGGAGGAGGTGGAGGAGGAGGAGGAGGAGGAGGAGGAGGAGGAGGATGAGGAGGAGGAGAGGAGGAGGAGAGGAGGAGGAGGAGGAGGAGAGGAGGAGGAGGAGGAGGAGAGGAGGAGAGGAGGACGAGGAGGAGGAGGAGGAGGAGGAGGAGGAGGAGGAGGATGGAGGAGGAGAGGAGGAGGAGGAGGACGAGGAGGAGGAGGAGGAGGAGGAGGAGGAGGAGGAGGAGGGAGGAGGAGAAGAGGACACCTCCCCACCTCACGACAGCCTGTCCGGAGGAGGGCCGGACCGTGGCCTGTTGTCAGCTGCCGCGGCCACGGGCGCTGGAGGGCAGGGGCGGGCAGGCCTCGTGAGCCCTGGCTCGGCTCGTCGGCAGGCAGCCACGGCGGGGGGAGAAGCAGGGGGGGCTCCTCCTCCTCCCTCCTCCTCCCCCCCTCCTCCTCCCCTCCTCCTCCTCCTCCTCCTCCTCCTCCTCCTCCTCCTCCTCCTCCTCCTCCTCCGGCAGGAGGGGGGGGCAGGGAATCAGGAGGGGGGGAGGGCATCAGGAGGGAATCGGGAGGGAGGGAATCGGGAGGGGGGGCCAGGGAACCAGGAATCAGGAGGGGGGGGGGGGGGAGAAGGGGGGGGCAGGGAATCAGGAGGGGGGGCAGGGGGGGCAGGGGAGGTGACGCGCCGAAGGGAGCGACAGTCGAACTCCCATGCATCGACGAACGGACACACTGGAGCTCGGCATGGACCGGCCATCAGCGAGGCATGGCCCATGGAGAGACGACGAGATGCCAACAGCGGAGAGAAGAAATAGGGTAGGCGAAAGAAGCAGGAAAGACGATGCGACCGAACGGAACGGCGGACGCCAGGACGATCGCAGAAGAAGCCTTGGTAAAACATACCATTAAGGAAGTATATTGAAGAAGAAGGAACTGCCATCAGAGATCCTTGATATGTGCTAACCGATGTTCTGGGAGTCGTAGTGGTGGAAGTGGTGAGGTCGTAGACTCTGCCGTCCACTGTCGCAATAGTATCGCAATTATATAATTTCTTTGGCCACCACATGACAATAGGAGTACTGTGTGTCAGTTCTGCTACCCCCAGTAGTCGCTGGTCGTCCGATTGTAAGGTTGGGAACCTTGGTTTTGGCGTTGGTGGCGGCGTATGCTCAGGTGCTGGGAATTTGGGCTCGGGCATGGTTGGTGCTTTCATGGCAATGGTTACTTGAAACGTTGTCGTAGTTCTGCCTGGCGTAGGCTGCGCTGCCGCACTTCTGTAACATGTTGCTGGCATTGCAACTGGTGCTTGCGTGGCGTCTCCATCTAGTCCCAGAACCTCTCATCGTTGCCGTCATCGACGCCGTGCTTTTCTAGGTGCTCTGTATCGGGGCATTGGAGTGGAGCCCGTTTGCCCGTGTTGAAACTGTATCGGAAGAGCTGTTGGTTGGAAGTATATCTGCGCGGTGGCAGACGTTTGTGGTGCTAGCTCTGACGTGGGTATTTCAATCAGCCAGCATTGAGCCCGTGCAGCCTTGGGTGTCGGGCAGACGATGGGCCTTCTGAAATTTGGTGGAGGCGGGTGGATTGGGCTTCTGATCACTGGGTGCTGGGCTGCTGTGTGGCAGGTGTGTTAGTCACTGGTGGTTGCTGGTCTGGCGTTTGGGGTGTCTGCTTGTTGTACCTCTGGTGGTTGTCGTGCGGGTTGCGGTGCGTCATCAGTGGTGTCAGCGCTGCTGTAAGAGCTTGGTGGTGCCGATGGAATGTTGTAGTCGTCGTCTGGTACTTCGGCTGGGTTGCATATTTGCTGCGCCAGCTGTGCCGCGTCGTGAACTCGCACGGACGAGTCGTACTGCATGGTGTCTTCGTAGTCGTGGCAAGAACAGAACCATTGTAAGAACGTGGGCCTGTTTGGCAAAGCCGTTCATTCTTGTAGTCGGCGCACGTACTAAGGAAGCGAGGTGTCAATTGGTTGGTGACGTTGGCTGCTACTCTGGATTCCTCCTTGAGAAGGTTGCAGTCTACAACGTCGCGCATGTAGTTTCCTAGCGGCGGTCGTGGCTGGTTGAATAAACGTGGTCGCCCTGGTGGTACGTGTGAGTGTGCCGAGGTTGCGCCGCTGGGCTTTAGGTACGTGGTCTGCTCGGTCGGCGGCATCTGAAATGTGGGACGTGGGGTCGCATGTGGGTCGGGCCTAAGTGGTGAGCAAGGTAGAGTTAGGTGACGGTTGTTGCTGGTGGATCACTCGTTGTTGTATGTGCCTAAATCTCTGTGCCATCATGGTAGCAGCAGGTGGTCGTTTCGAAAGCGGTCGGTGTATATGTTGCCTGCTGCGTTGTAGTAGACTGCGTAATGCTAGCTGTCCTCGTCGTAGTCGTCTTCGCCACTTCTGCCTTTGGCACTGTCTGCTGTCCAACCTGTAGGGCAATACATGTCGTGGCTCTCGTGTGGTGGTAGTGATGTGAGACTGAAGGGCCTAGGAGTGTACTTGAAGGTCGTCGCTGTTGTCGGTGTAGCTGCCCTCGTCTTCGGAGTCGCCTGTAGCTGCAGGTAGTACTGTGTCGATGCCTTCGTCACCCCAAAGGTTGTGAACGGTGGTCAGCTGTCACGTTTGAGTCGGAGCTACGGGTGGTGTTGGCGACTTGGTTTGGGGCAGTGGTGTAGGTGCGTGCGTAGGTGGTGGCGGTGGTCTTGAGTGTTGGTGATTTCTCTTGGGTCTGAAAACGATTTTTGGTATGAGTAACTATGGTGCGACTGGCAGCGTGTGGCCAGAGCAGTACTTGCGGAGTCTTCGTAATCATAATATATTTCCTCCGACTGCTTTCTTTGCTCTAGCTGTTGTTGAATCCAGTCGTAATGCAGGTGGCCAGTGTCGATGTCGGTCGGTATTTGTTGTATGCGCCTCGGTGGCCTGTAGACAGAGTTCGTGCCGCGTGGATGTGGCATGTGCGTTGTAGGGGTGGCCTTGATTGAATCGCTATCCCTGGTAACGGGTCGCATGTGTCGGTGTAAATGTAGGCTGCCTACTGCAATGGGCGTGAGCCCTCCAATGATTTGTGGCCAGGCTCGGTTCCCAGGTGTCGGCAATAGGAGCTCGAAGTGTGTTGTTGGAGGTCGTGGTTCCTCATCATCCTCCACCTCTCCTCCCTCTCCTTCTCCTCCTCCCCCATTCCTTCTCCTTATAGATAACTCCCCCTGTCACACCCCGGGGCCAGTTTTAGGGCGGGCTGGGCGTTTCGCCTGGGACTTCCTCACCATCTTCGACTCTGAAGCTTAAAAAAACACAGCGGTTTCACCGATGGAGGGCGGGTGGTTTTCAAAATGTGGCTCTCGCCTTAGCGCCGCGCACATTCGTTTTAAACATTTACAAGAGCTTCACGGATTGAGGGCGGGTCGTTTTCAAAATGTGGCTTTGGCCTGAGCACCGCGCACACTCATTTTGAACATTTGCAAGAGATTCACGGATTGAGGGCGGGTGGTTTTCAAAATGTGGCTCTCGCCCTAGCGCCGCGCACATTCGTTGAAACAATTGCAAGAATTTCACGGGTTCCCATGATCAACGTACCAGAAATTGCGTCTGGAAGGATTCAAGATTATGCGGGTGCAACAATTATGTTGGTTCGCGGTGTTGAAGTCCCAAGAATGGCGCTCTAGCACGACTCCGGATCGCCAATTCGCAGCAGTCAGGTTGATACTTGGCGTTGAAATCCCGAGAACACTGTTGTGGCATGCTTCAGGATCTTCAAACGTTGTCTTCCAACGAGGCAGCTCCCTCAATGGAAATGAACCGTTGTGGGGGCCTATAAAGAGGGAGCTTGGAGGGGGGGTTCATTCCAACATCGTTCATGACTCTTGGTTTTACAATGGTTCTCCCCCTCCTCCTCCTCCTCCTCCTCTTCCTCCTGGTCCTCCTCCTCCTCCCTCTTCCCCGTCCCGCCCCTCCTCCTGCTCCCCCTCCCCCTCCCCCTCCCACGTCCCCCGTCCCCCCCCTCCTTCTTCCTCTCCTCACCTCCCTCCTCCTCCTCCTCCCCTCCTCCTTCCTCCTCTCCTCCCTCCTCCTCCTCCTCCTCCTCCGCCTCCCTCCTCCTCCTCCTCCCTACTCTCCCCCGTCCTCCTCTCCTCCTTTCCCCCGTCCCCCTCCTTCTCCTCCTCCTCCTCCTCCCTCCTTCCTCCCGTCCTCCTCTCCTCCTCCTCCTGGGCACGGCCTGGCGGCGGACAGAGTCTGTACACCGTCACCGAGTGCAGAGGCAGGTGGCGCACACCCCTCTGGTCCGGGCGCCACTTCTGCCACTGCGTGCCTCCCCGCCCCCGCCCCCTTCACACCCTCCTCCGCATCCTCGTCCCCCCCTCCTCTTCCTCTCCCTCTGCCGATTTCCTCCCACACCCTCCTCCTCCTCTGCCGATCCTCCTCCTGGGCCTCTCTGCACCCTGGCCGCGTCCTCGTCCGCGCACACGATGACCTTGATGGGCCGCGTCTGCAGATCCAGGCCCGGCGGCGAGTTCTCCACCTCCCCGCCGGCGCCCGGCCGCGCACGCCGCCCACCGTTGCCGGCCGACCCCGGAGCAACACCACAAATCGGCAACCAAAACTCTGCGGTGCTGGCGCGCCATCGCTCCGGCTTGTCGCCGCGCTCCGCGCTGGTTTTCTTCCTTTGGGGGCCGGCGGTATCTGCTCGGCCCTCTGCCACCGCTGTCCAGCCTCAGGCTGCTGGGTCAGCGCCGGAGCTCGAGCGGCCAGTGGCGTGTACCGCTCGGCCCCCTCGACGCCGCCCGCCGTCTCCGCCGGGGCAGCCAGCTCCTTGCATGTGTCTGGGGCGGTGGCGAGGATGGGGCCGAGGGGGCGACGCAGCGCCTTGAGCTTCGGTTGCTGCCCACTCGCCGCCCTTGCTGTTGCCCCTGCCCTTTATCCCTGCCTGTGCCTCCCACTTTGCCGCCCTTGCTTCCGTCGTCCTTATCTTTGTCGGGCATGGGCCATGTGAGTGCAGATTCGGCATCCTTGCAGCAACAGGGCCTCTTCGTATAAGCTCTGCAGCCGCAGGCGCTGCACACCACTCTGTTCGCAGCACTTGCGATGCATCAGGTTTCTGCCCCGTCACCATCTGCAGCGACGATGCTCTCCCTCGACATTGGCCAAGAGAATGTGCAACCCCAGCGCCTGCGACGCTCAACCCAAGGTAGCCACGCAGTCCGGCGAAACCCAGGCTCCCCATGATGCCCGCCGTATGCGGACACGCGTCTGCTCCGACAGGAGCTCGCAAAGCTTCATCAATCCGAGTCAGAATAGCCCGCAACAACAAGCCTATGTGAAACTCTGTTGTTGCACGTTCTATAGAAGAGGTGCACACACGGCTCACGTTCCCCGCCGTCCTGGTCCCCCAGGGTGTGGGGAAGAACGAGGGAGGGAGGACAAATCCGGGCAGTGATAATCAATATCGCCTTCGATTTTAAAAAATATCGAGAATGTGCAGTTACGATAGCACCCTGCCACAGGCTGGTCGAGAAGCTGTCCGAGGGTGCCGCGATCACCTGCGTTGCCCAAAGCACCAGAATGAAGAATGGGGACGGGAAGGGATCCAGCCACGACCTGCACCCCAAGTGGCAAGCGGCAGTGGTCGGGAGTGACATGGCGGTCCCCACCTGGGGGGACGAGGGAAATGGGAGGATGCCTGCGTCGGGATGTGCACGACCAGTACAAGTGCGGAACATGTGGATGGTTCAGTGCCCGACAGCAGAACTTGTCCGAAATGAGCAGGACACATATAGACAGTGCAAGCTGACATATCAACACATGAACAAGACGCACAGTCAAACGGGCAAGCAAACCAGACTGTCCCAAAAAACATGTGAAACGAATCCCGGGAAACCGAACAACGGGGAAACTGACTCCAAGACCCGTTTCTATCAGAAACCCTCTCTTCCTGAAAAAGTCAAGCCACGAATCTTTCTTGGGATGCGTTCTGACTAGAATCTCAGAGCGGATCCAGCCGTTATTGCGAGGAGCTCCTTCGAGGCCAAGGAAAAGAGGAGCGCTCGGAAACCCTGAGCCTCGATGCTTGGACCGAGCCTCATCTCCCTCCAAGGACCCTCACATGCCTCCTGACTCCCTCTCTTTCATCCGGGGGCGCGCAAACATGGATTAGCGATCCATGGACTTGGCGCGCGGTCGCCAAATCCATGGATCGGGGGGGGGCCCTCCCCGAAATGCGGCCGGTGCCGCCTCGCTCGGCGGCGGGCACCCGCGCGTACCCCTCGAAACGGGACACGTCGCTAATCCACGCCCCCTTGATCCAGGAGCCTCACATGCCTCCTGGCCCGCTCTCTTGGCGGCGCGCACAAGGGGGTGGGGGGAGGGGGGGGCTTCTTAGAAGCAGGCTGCTTCTTAGAAGGCGCGGCCACATCTATAGATAAGGCCCGCGCCTTCTAAGAAGCAAGGGTGCTTCTAAGAATCCCTCCCCCCTCCCCCCACCCCCCTCTGCGGGTGGCCCCCTCTCCTTCGTCCCGCGTCCCGCTATTTCCCGCTACTTGTCGCGCCTGAAGGGGCCGTGCCCCTGGGGCACCTCCGCATGCCCGACGTCGCGACCGCCGTCGGAGGAGGATGGGAGGGGGGAGGCCGAAGTCCTCAAAACCTCCTCTTCCCGCGTCCCCCCCCCCCCCCCTCCCCCCTGCCGTCCTCCCCTCCCCCCTCCCTCCTCCTCCTCCTCCTCCCTCCTTCCTCCCTCTCCTCCTCCTCCTCCTCCTCCTTGACCCTAAAGGAGCCCCCAAATGAGGAACGAGGCCCCTTGTCTCCAGAAGTTCGACTTCGACCTCCCATCGAAAATCCAAGGATCACCTGGGGCAACATGTGAAACAACGAAGGAACACGGAGCCCCTCCCCAACGAAGAGGGCTTCTTATTCAGGGCCCCGACTGCAGGAGGGGGGAGGCCGAGGTCCTCAACAAACCTCCTCCTCCCGCGTCCCTCCCCCCCATCCCCCCTCCGCTCCCCCCTCCTCCTCCTTCCCCCTCCCCCTCCTCCTCCTCCCCCTCCTCCTCCTCCCCTCCCCCCCCTCCCCCTCTCCTCCTCCTCCTCCTCCTCCTCCTCCTCCTCCTCCTCCTCCTCCTCCTCCTCCTCCCCCTCCTCCTCCTCCTCCTCCCCATCCCTTTCCTCCTCCTCCTCCTCCTCCTCCTCCTCCTCCTCCTCCTCCTCCTCCTCCTCCTCCCCCGGCCGCCCGTGGCCCGGGGGGGGAGGGCGCGCCGTGGCGCGGCAGCTGTTCTTGAGGACCTCGCCCACGATGTACCGCAGGAACCGGGGGATGAACGCCATCTTCGGCGCCCTGCCGGCCCAGCCAGAAGGAGGGGGGGGGGAGGAGGAGGATCGAGGGGGAGGAGGATCGAGGGGGAGGATCGAGGAGGATCGAGGAGCACGAGGGGGAGGATCGAGGAGGATCGAGGGGAAGGAGGATCGAGGGGGAGGAGGATCGAGAAGGGGGGGGGAGGAGGATCGAGGGGGAGGAAGCGCGGCCGCCGCAGGTGGGCCTGGACACACGCCCGAAGTGTCGCCCTCTCGCCGGCTTCCGAGGCGAGCGAACAACACACACACACACCGACACACACACACACACACACACACACACACACCGATGCCAAGACGAAGCCGCGACGGTGATGCATTCGGGTGAGGGCGAATCGGGTATCTCAGAGCTCCAGCAGCTCTGGAGCCAAGTCGCACATTAAGGATGCGCAGTAAGCATGCAAGGGCCTTGGCGGGCCATGCTCACGTTTTCGAACGGGGCTAGCCAGCGAAAGTCGCCAAGGACGGGCCGAAGGGGCAAGGATGCAACGGTAGCCTTGAACCATTGCGCATCCTTACTATCCGACTTGACTGTACCCATGAGGGGCTCGGAAAGATGAGGACTGGCTATGGGTAGGGGCCCCCATCCGACAACACGCAAGCATAGCCCCCTCTGGACTCCCTATGGGTATGTTTGTGTGCTGTTCGATCGTCATTTCAGGCATGCACCCGTCGGCCTCAATTGAGGCTTTCGGGTTCCGGGAGGCTTGCGGCACTCTCGCTAATTGATGGTGTTGTACCAATGTCTTTGGAAGGGATGTGTAAACGTATCCCCTGCCCTGGCTGTGATCCGTGTCCCTGACACCCTCTATGACCGCCTTCACACACAGCACCGAAGAATCCCTCGAGCTTCCTGGACCTGCGCGATCCTGAAGATAAGGCGATGGCCCTTCGTGACCGATGGCGACGGGACCGGGCATGACACGAAAGGGCTCCCGTTCCCCTGGCCATAGCCAATCCCCAATGAATGCAGAGGCTTCTCGCCTCCAGGGCAACAACGCCCTCACAAACCCCCAACGCTACGAGCGCCGGAAGGGCGCCTCGAGCGCACGGGCCGCACGCGGCGGCACCGAGTGCCGAAGCTCACCCGCCCCTCGTCGGCTGCCGCTCCTTCTCCCGCTGCAGACCTCCTCTATTCCTCCTTCTCCTGTGCACTCGTGGCGCCGCCGGAGGGAACGCTAAAGTTGGATTCAGGATGGCCCGCCTGGTCTCTAGGATCTGCAGACTGCTGCTGCTCTTCAAGAGACCGCCGCGCGGATTGTTCGGAGCATATGGAGCTGCTCTCAAAACTGCATTAAAGACCAACAACCATCTCGCGGTGATTGGAATGACATTGCTGCTGCATTTGCCAACCGTGTTTGCATGTTTGCTTTGCTCGCGTCGCCTCAACGAGGGATCGCGTCTCGGCCTGCGCCAAGGCGCACCGTGGCGGCGCGCGCATTTGTTGTCGACACACTCGAAGTGGTGTTTCGCAGAAGCAAAGACGATGGACATCGCGATGCCCATCGTCTTTGCAATTTCTTATAAAACGCCCTGTGCGAGCCCATGGGGCCCCCCTCGACGCAGCAACCGTGAACTACTATGTCCCCCCTTACCCCCCACCCCGACGGGGCCTCCACCCCCACCGCGTTCTTCAAGAACGCGTTGAAGGTCGCAAGACTTGCGACCTTCAACGCGAGGAGGAGGAGGAGGAGGAGGAGGAGGAGGAGGAGGAGGACGAGGGGGAGGAGGAGGAGGAGAAGGAGGAGGGGGAGGAGGGAGGAGGAGGAGGGGAGGAGGAGGGGGAGGAGGAGGAGGAGGAGGAGGAGGAGGAGGAGGAGGAGAGGAGGAGGAGGAAGAGGAGGAGGAGGGAGGAGGGAGGAGGAGGAGGAGGGAGGAGGGAGGAGGAGGAGAATGGGGGTGGCGCCCTGTCTTTGCCTGTTGGCCCCGGCGCGCGTCGCAAGGCGGCGCCCAAGGCGGCCCCGCGAGGGGCCCCGCGCGCCCTGCCGCCTCTCTCCAAGGGGGGGCCCCCGGACGGCCCAGGAGCGCCCCCGCGTGGCCCGAGGAGGGCCCAGCAGGGCCCCCAGGACTGAAGGGGCCCCAGGACACACTAATAGATGCACACAAATGCGCAGGGCCCGCCCCAGGCGGCCCCAGGATCGCGCCGGGTCGAGTCGACCGGAGCATCGAATCGGCTGCCGAATTTAGTCGCCAGGAGCCGGCATGGCCGAGCCGGACCGAGTCGGAGACCGGCTGAACGGACGCCGGGTCGGAATCGAAATCGGCAGACACAATCTGCGCGTCCTCTGGTGGGACTCGTTACTGAAATCCTCAGACTGAAGGGGCCCCAGGACACACTAATAAATACACACAAATAAAAAGATCCCCCATCTTTTCGAGTATCTTCTGGGTTTTTTTGTCTTCCCGCCCAATCCCCATGTTTTCCCATCTTTTCTGGGGGATCGACGATTAATTGTGTCTGTGTGTTTCTTCCCCTCCTGAAAGACTGCCCCACGAGAGGGCGCATATGGAGGGCCCCTTGGGGCCCAGCCTCCCCATCCCCTCGGGGGCGACGACAGGGGCGAGTAGCCCAGGGGCCGGCCTTGCACGCATTCGCCAGGGAGCCTCTTCGAAGACATGGATCATGGGCGCACCTGCATATCGGCGGTGGTCCCCAAACGTGGTGGTGAGCACACACGGTGGTGAGTTTTGGGCGATTTGGGTAATGGTTTTCGAGCGCTGGCCCCAGACCCCCTCGAGTCATGAAAAAATCACGACGGGAGGTTTTTCGCCATTTTCGGCCTCTGGGGGCCCTCACCGGGCCTCGGGCGCGTCAAAAAACGACTCAGGATGACAAACCGGTCCTGGGGAAGGGGTCGGGACCTCTGGGGGTCGACGTAATGAAAAAATCATTACGTCGGGGGTCTGGGGCTGGCCCAGGAAACGCAAAACCTCGTGGCGACCGCGTGTCCCCCAACCCGGTGGTGACCCAGAATTATTTGTTTGGGGAATCGGGGTCACCACCGGGTGTCTCACCACCTGGTTTGGAGACCACCAAATATCGGCGGTTGACAAACCTCCCTTTCGTAAACCACCCTTGCGAGAAAACGGCCTGGGACCGACACCGACGGACCTGGACCCGCAAAACAACGGCCGCGACGCCCTCTCGCGAACCGAGCACGGCCGATTCACGAATCGACGTGCCGGGGTAGGAGGTCTATCCACCTCCGAGGATACATGTATGGCTCTCCCCCGGGCTCCTCGACCCCATCGTCGCCTCTGCTCCCCTCTCCTTGCACACGGTGCGGCCCGCCGGCGCGCCGTGGGCCCCCGCCGCGGCACGGCCGCAGGGCCCTGGGCTCCCCTGGCGGAGCCTCCGGGCCTCTCGCGTGCGCGGCCGCGGCCGCGGCGCTGGGCGGCGGCATCCTCCGCCCTCCGCCGCGCGGCCTGCTCTCGTGCTCCTCTCGGAGGCTGGTCGCGCACGACGAGCGGTGGCTTGTCGCGTCGGCAGAAAACAGTGCCAGGCCTCGAGGGACAGGATCGCGCCGACGTGGGGCCAGGGCAGACAGAGGAAGGCAGCCGCCGGCGCGAATGTAGAGATGCAAGCAGGTGCGGAATAAGAATGTGGCCCTCGAGGGCATAGAGTAGCTAAGCGAGATGCCGGTGGGAGGGAAGAACAACAAACTTGACACTTGCTTCTACCATTCGTCCTCCTCCTCCTCCTCATGCTCCTCCTGCCCCTGTACTGTGCTGTACACTGCGGAAAAGGTCGTCAATGCCGAACTCCCCCCAAAAGGCAAAATACGACCCAGGATGCCCAGCCGCTGTGGGCCGACGAACCGCCTTGGGCTGCCAAGCCCTCTTGAGCAAGCTGTTCCATGCCAAAACGCGAGACGAGCTGGGCAGGGTCCCGCTGCTCCTCCCACAAACCACCAGACACAGCGACCTCCTGGCCCTCCTCCTCCCCCTTCCTGCCTCCTGCTCATCCGCCTCCTCCTCCCTCCCTGCCTCCTCCACCTCCTCCTTCTCAACCTCCTCCTCCTCCTCCTCCTTCTCCTTCTTCTCCTCCTCCTTCCTCCTCCTCCTCCTCCCTTAGCAAGTTATAAGAAGCCAGAGGACTGACTCAGCTTGTGCCTGCCCCCTTTTTGGTACACGTGTGCCCTATGCCCTGCTAAGGGAAGCTATGATGTGTGGCAGATCTGCCAGGGCATGCTCGCCCGCGCCCAGTTCGGCGTCACGCTTTACCCGTGTGGACAATGCAACAAGGCGCCTCCTCCTCCTCCTCCTCCTCCCTCCGCCTCCTCCTCCTCCTCCTCCTCCTCCTCCTTCTCCTCCTCCTCCTCCTCCTCCTCCTCCTCCTCCTCCTCCTCCTCCTCCTCCTCTTCCTCCCTTCCTGCCCTCCCGCCCCTCTTTCCTCCCCCTCGTTTCTTCTCCTCCCCGCCCAGGGGCCCACAGCCAAGAGCAGGGCCCCCCGCTGCCCGCAGTCTGTGCCCACGGCCGAGTACGTCTGCACCAGCACCTCGGGCCTGCGGCCTCCCGCCGCGCGGGCGGCGCGGCGGGGCGACGAGGGAGGGATACACACGCACCTACACAGATACAGAGTTACACTGGTAGCACACACATCCACACACACATACACATATATATATATATACATACATATCGGCGAAAAACTACATGCATACGAGCACGTCCATGTACAAACATACGCATACACAGTGATACATGCATGTATGTATAAATAATCATCGTTGCGCATGTATGGTTTCAAACACTGGCGCATGAGTAGACACACCTCTGTATCGATGTGGAGAGAGAGGGAGAGCGGGGAGAGACAACGCGAGAGAGAGAGATGTGTGTTGACAATCATTACATGTGGGAGCCCCCATATGTGCATCACAGGTCCTGGCATTTCCGTGCGTGCGCATCTGCGCAAACGAACCTTAATCTCTCGGGCTCAGCGATCCGCGGCCAATCCCCCCTTGGAGTGCCCAAGTTCGATTACTTCTACATCGGGTTGCTTTGATTATTATAAGTATTAGGCGCCGATGAGGGCAGCGCACAGGAAGCTGTCAACACACAAACACACTGGCACACAATGCCCCCCCCACACACACACACACACACACACACACACACACACACACACACACACACACACACACACACACACACACACACACACACACACACACACACACACACACACACACACACACACACACACACACACACACACACACACACACACACACACACACACACACACACACACACACACACACACACAATCACGCATGCTCTACCCAACGGATGGGCCTCCCTCTCACCCGCCTTGTGCCGCCGAGGCGCCCGGTCCCCCTGCCGCGAGGAAGTTCTCTGTCCGCGGAGGAAGTTCTCTGTGTCGGGCTGCTCTTAGGGACTCTGAGAGGAGGAAGATCGAGGGTACTCCAGATTTCGTAACAAAAGGAGGGGGGGTCTCATTTCGGGGGGGGGGTCTCTTCCAGGCCATCTTGGAGGGCCTGGGGGGGTCTGGGGACGATGTTTTGGAGGAGTCTCCCACGGGGGGGGTGTCTAAAACTTCTCGTCTGGGAGGGTTGAGACCCCCTCCCTTTTATTACGAAATCTGGAGAACCCAAACCAACATTTCGTCCGGGAGGTCCCGCGATCTGGGTGCGAACTGATACGTGTCACGCCTCCTCTTGCGGCTCCCCGTTGGGGTGCGCACGCTCCGTGTACTCCATCGCGGTGATCCTGCGGCTCTGCACGGAGAGGAGCCGGGGAGAGCCCCAAGCGGCGGACCGCTCGAGGCACCTCCACCATCCAGGCTTGCACGGGCAAGTGCAACACGCGCTGGCGGCTCCTCCTTGGGTGTTCTGCCCTCTGGCGGGGCCCTCTGGGGGGTGCTCGCACGGTACGCCCGCTACATCGCTGCGATCATGAAGCTGTGAGTCAAGAAGACGGATCGGGGCCGCCACACGAGCAACACTTCCCATACACCCTCACAATGCGGGCACGAACGTGCAGCTGTCCTACCCCCGGCGGCTCCCCCTTGGGGTGCTCCAGGACCAAGTCGGCAACATCGCCACTGGCAGGGGGCTCCGAGCAGACGGGGGTCGGGGCCGCCAGGCAAGCGAATCGCCTGAAGCGTCCCCGCAGTCTGGGCGCGAACGGGCAAATGCCCTACCCCCTGGCTGCTTTCCGCAGGTTTGCGTCGTGTCGACCCAGGCGATGGTTTTTGACACCGCGGGAATCGTTCAACCTTGAACGATCGGCCGTTTCCGAAACGCCACATCGTTGAACATCGATCGATTCTGGGTCGCCGTCGGCGTTCAACGTTGAACTCCGGCGGCGGGGTCGCCGCTGGTCGACACGGCACGAACCTACCGCTCTTGGGGCGCTCAAGGTACGTCGGCCACGTCGCGGCGAGCAGAGAGGGCGGAAGTGCTGGCCACCAGGCAGGCCCAAGGCCCGAGGCATCGCCACAATCTGGCCGCGCCGCAGGCATCCCTAGGGGGCCGCGTGCGAACCCTACCCCTTCCCCCTACGATTTCTGAGGGGGAGGGTGGGGTTCACTTCGCTCGGGAGCTCCCGAACGAAGTGAACCCCACCCTCCCCTTCAGAAATCGTGGGGGGTAGGGGTAGGGTTCGCACGTGGCCCCCTAATCCCCTCACGGCTCCGCCTTGGGGCGCCCGGGCGCCATGCAGCTGCTGCATCGTGGCGGGCACTGACCCCCCCCCCACAGAGACACGTCTGGGCCACCCAACAGGCAGACCGCCTGAGTTGGCGGCGGCGCTCAGAAGGGGGTACGGGGGAGGGAGGGAGGCTTCTGAAAGGGAGGCTTCTTAGGAGGCGCCAGCCCTATATCTACAGACGAGGCCCGCGCCTTCTAAGAAGCAGGGATGCTCCTCAGAAGCCGTCCCCACTCCCCCTACCCCCCCCTCTGCGCGTGGCCGACTGAGGCATAACCACGATCTGGGCGCGAACTTGCAACTGTCCACGCTCTTGGGGCCTCTTGGGGGCCTCTCGGGCCATCATGGGGCTATCGCGGGCGGCTTGGAGCGTTCTTGGGTTGTCTTGGCGGCTTCTTGCTGCCCCTGGAAACCATGGTGGACGCCTCGGGTGGCCGAAAAAGCTTCCAGGACACCGAAAACGGGCCCCGGATCCTGGCGGCTAAGGTCGGTTACTGGGGGGGCGGGGGGGAAAAAGAGTTTTGAAAAAGCGTGCGACCCCAATCCCCGGGTCTCTGGACACCCGTTACCCGCCAACACTCGCAGGCCGAGTGTCGGCCCCGCGGCGGATCGTTTGGCCCAGGCTCGATTTGGACTAGGGCATGAATACGATTCTTTGTTCCCCCCCTCACGCTGTCCCTGGGGAGACCCCTAAAAACAAATTAGCCTGGCGGAGGACCCAACCATATGCAGTTGTGGGTACCGCAATTGTGAAAATCTTCTTCGGTGAAACTCCCTATGGGGCCACGAAGCGCTGCACGGGGTGGGGGGGAACGCTGTTTTTGAGTGAGTGGTGTGTCAAGCAAGGTTTCCGGTACGCATGCGGACGGTCCCACTGGGAGCTTCGGTGGATGGGGCCACGAAGCGCTGTACTGGGTAAGTGAAAATGCCAAATTGGGCTTCCGGGACGCATGCGGACGGTCCCACTGGAGGCTTCGGTGGAACTTATACATATATATATAGAAAATATTATCATACGCACCTCTCCGAAGGAGTAGAGCTCAGAGGCGATTAATTGAAGGCCGCGCCGCGTCCGCGATTTTTCTAGCCGTTTCGCTAGGGACATCCTCGAAATTCTGAAAATCGGTGGCACCCCTCACACAGATCGTGACGTCAGGGTCCGAAAATACATGGGAATTTCAACTGTCTAACATAAAACCTTCCAAAGCACAATGTAAGTTCAATGATTTTGACCCCGATTCTCAAAGAATGGCGGTTTCGCCTGAGACATCCTCCGAAAATCGAGCCCCGACGTACCTTCTGGTACCCCAGACCCCGCCTCGGAGCCTCCTGGGGGCCTCCTGGAACCTCCTGGGGCCTCCTTGGGCCTGCGGTCTATTGGTCGGGCCTCCTGGAGCCTCTTGCGGCCTCCATGGACGTCCTCGCAACCTCGATCCCAAACGACCCCTCCTGGGGCCTCCTGGAATATTTTCCGGCATCCTGGTCGGGCCTCCTGAGGCTTCCTGGGGACCCGTGGTACACACATCGCAAGGTGTGGCACCCCCGCTTGCGCTCGAGTGCGACCCCGCTATTGCATGTCACTCCCAGCAGCTATCCTCCTCCTCCTCCTCCTCCTCCTCCTCCTCCTCCTCCTCCTCCTCTCGTCCTTCTCTTTCCCTCCACATCTAGTGAAACAAATCGGCTGGTGGGAATCGCGCTCACACTTCTCTTGTGAATCGCTTCCCCTCCTCCATTTTTCCGATCCCGCCGTCACGGTGCCTTCCCGCTCCAAACGACCTTAGCCTGGGCACGCACGTGCCACCTGTATGTGTATGTGTATGTCGGTGTACACATATATATATATAGCATGCATGACTAATCACACACATATATATATAGAGATATATATACATATACGTAACTCGCATAGAATTCATGACTAAACACACATATACACACATGACTCGTAGTAGGCACGTCTGCATGCGTGGCGTGTGCGGGTGAAGACCAATACGGAGCACATGCGTGGCTGCAGGAACGCCTCGGCACGCGGAAAAAGTGTACTGCCACCCTCCGCGCCGCGGCGCGGCGAGAGAGGCAGCCCCGCACGCGCGCGCGCGCGCTCCCCGGGGGACGGCGGGCGCCGACTGCCTGGCGGCCAGCAGTGGAAGAGCCGCTGGTCACCAGCCTCGAAAGGGGTCCCTGTCCCTAAGATTGACACGCCAGGAGGCGATGACAGTCTGAGGGATCCGCCCTCAAAAAGAAATATAAGGGGGTCCCTGAGATTGGCATCGTGAGGAGGAGGTGCCCAGCATAGGGATAGGGATACTCCAGGTTTCGTAGTAAAAGGGAGGGGGTCTCAACCCTCCCAGACGAGAAGTTTTAGACCCCCCCCCCCCCTGGGAGAACCCTCCAAAACATCGTCCCCGGACCCCCCCAGGCCCTCCAAGATAGCTTGGAAAAGACCCCCCCCGAAATGAGACCCCCCTCCCTTCCTTACGAAATCTGGAGTAGATATGTTCCAGGCTGGTAAGTGGGGGAGGAGGAGGAGGAGGGAGGAGGAGGAGGAGGAGGAGGAGGAGGAGGAGGAGGAGGAGGAGGAGGAGGAGGAGGAGGAGGAGGAGGAGGAGGAGGGGGGGCAGAGGCGGCCGCGGGGTCAGGCCGGGTCCGGTCGGGTGGGGTGCGGCGCGTGCGCAGGGGCGCGCCCCGTGCGCAGAGGCGCAGCCGCCGCCTTCTCGCGCCCTCGCAGATCAGCCGGCCCACCTCTTGAAAGGCCTTCCTAGGGGGAAAGCAAACCTACCTCGCTTTTGACCACCCTCGCTTCCAAGAGACACCAAACGATGCCAGATTGCAGCCTGTATACTGGTCAGGCTGCTTGACGAGGAGGCGCGTGGTGTGGCTTGGTTTTGCCTGGAAGCGAGAGCGGGGTAGGTAATTCACGCTCTGACTTCCAGCAGGTCGAAGCCCAGGCGGCGCCCAACAGGCGGCCGCGGGGCGGGGGGGGGGCAGACGTACGCGTCGCTCACTGCTAGTCGTGCTCATTCCTAATGGTGCTCGTGTCTAACTGTTCCTGGCCCCCTAGAGGCCAGGAAGAGGCCCAGGATAGAGAACAATCAGGCATGAAGGGAGCTTGGCCCCCCCAAAAAAAATCACAGAACTCTCGAGTCATTGGGAATGAACAATGCGTGCTTGCGCAGGCATCCTCTGCTGGTGCCGGCGGCGCGCGCTGTGGTGCCGGCGGCGCGCGCTGGCGGAGGCGAGGTGGCGTGGCGCGCAGCGCTCGCGGCGCGCCTGGCCGAGCGGCCCGGGCCACCAGGGTGAGAATTAGTTGCAGGTTTTTCCACCTCCCTCGTCCTCCCTCCCTCCCTCCCCCCCCCCTCCCCTCCTCCTCTGCCGCGGGGCTCTCGACGTGTCTGTAAAAAAAAGCACGCATCCTCACCACGCCACTACACATCATGCCGCTGCGGCCGCCCCCCAATTCGGCGCCTGTGCTCTCCTCGCAGACGTCCTGGACCGCCACCGCCGTCTCGGTGCAGATGCGCCCGACGTCGCAGTCTGCCCGTGCCCGGCCCCTCTCCTCCCCGTCCGTCCTGCCTCCTCCCCCTCCTCCTCCTCACCCTCCTCCTCCTCCTCCTCCTCCTCCTCCTTCTCCCCTTCTCACCCTCCTCCTCCTCCTCCTCCTCCGAACCTCCCCTCGAGCTTCCTCTTCTCATTCTCCGCCTTCCAGGCCGAGGGCAATGCCTGGTGGCCTTCTCTGCCTCCACCTCCTCGAGAGCTCCTCCTGCTACCCCTGTCATGCCCTCAGGCCCTGAGGCCCGGCGCCGTGAGCAAAGACAGCATCGCGAAACATCACGACTGCGGCTGGGCACTGTACGTTTGCAACTTGTTTTCGGGCCGCATCGATATGTGATACACCCTGCGAAATGCTTAAGAAATCATGGGTTAAGAAATTCACAGTCTCAGAAATTGACAAAAAACCCAGAATTTCTATGAACATCTTAGGATTTACATGGAAACATTAAGAATAATCAAGACTCTGGCCGAAAACTTAAGCTTTCTTAAGCATCGCCTAAGGTGTAATCCCTGTCCGGAACCAGCCGAAAATGCCATGTCCCAACTAGCCTGGACACACCCAACCATGCAGATGTGAGTACAGTCGGGGCCTTGGCCTAAGGAACTCTGAATGAGGAACGAGGCCCCCTTTTCCCATACGTTAAACTTCGATTCTCCATGGGAAACCTAAGGACAGCCCAAGGCAAACTGTAAAACAATCAAGGAACACCGAGCCCCTCCCCAACGAGAAGGGTTCCTTCTCCAGCGCCCCGACTGTACCGCAGAGCAGGCGGGACGAAGGCGGGGGGCTCCCTATGGGGCCACAGAAGCGCGTAACGACTGCGGGGTGTGGAACTGCATGCGGGCGCTGCCACTGGGGCCTTGGGGCACCTCATGGGGCCGCCATCCGTGTGAGGGGTGCGCCAAGACGGGAGCGGAACTGCATGCAGGCGCTGCCGCTGAGCCCACTGGTGGAGCTCCCCAATGGAACTGCATGCGGGCGCTGCAAATGGGGCCTTCGGTGGAGCTCCCCATGGGGCCACGAACCGTGTGGGGGGTGCGCCAAGGTGGGAGTGGACTTGCATGCGGGCGCTGCCACTGGGGCCTTCGGTGGAGCTCCGTATGGGGCCACGAACAGTGTGAAGGATGTGCCGAGATGGGGGTGGAACTGCAAGCGGGCGCTGCCACTGGGGCCTTCGGTGGAGCTCCCTATGGGGCCACGAACCTTGTGAAAAATGCACCAAGATGTGGGTGGAACTGCATGCGGGCGCTGCCACTGGGGTCTTCGGTGGAGCTCCGTATGGGGCCACGAACAGTATGAGGGGTTCGCGAAAATGTGGGTGGAACTGCAAGCGTACTTTCCCACTGGGGCCTGCGGTTGGGCTCCCTATGAGACCACGAACCGTGTGAAAGGTGCGCCAAAATGGGGGGTGGAACTGCATGCGAACTTTCCCACTGTGCGTGGGCTCCCTAAGGAGCCGCAAACCGTGTGACGGGTGCGCCGAAATGGGAGGTGGAGCTGCATGCGAACTTTCCCACTGGCGCTGTCGGTGGAACTTTCTATGGGGCCACGAACCGTGTGAGGTGTGCGCCGAAATTTGAAGTGGAACTTCATGCGAACTTTCCCACTGAAGCCTTCGGTGGAACTCCGTATGGGACCACGAACCGTGTGACGGGTGCGCCGAAATGGGGGGTGGAACTGCATGCGAACTTTCACACGGGCACCTTCGGTGGAACTCCCTATGGAGCCACGAACCGTGTGAGGGGTACACCGCGATGGGGCGGTGGTGCCATGCGAAATTTCCCACTGGGGCCTTCGGTGGAGCTCCCTATGGGGCCAAGAAGCGTCCGAAGTGTGTGTGTGTGTGTGCTATGATGGTGACGACGATGATGACGATGATGATGCTGATGATGATACATAATGATCATAATGATCATGATGGGGCCTCGAGCCGTGTGAAAAGTGCGCCAAGATTGGGGCGGAACTGCATGCAAACCCTGCCACTGAAACCTTCGGTGGGGGCAAACCATTGGGGCCGCGAATCGTGTGAAGATGCGCCGAAATATAAAATGAAACTGCATGCGAACTTTCCCACTGGGGCCTTCGGTGAAACTCCCCATGGGGCCACGAACCGTGTGGGGGGTGCCCCGAAATTTGAAGTGGAACTGCATGCAAACTTTCCCACTGGGGCCTTCGGTGGAGCTCCCTAGTGGGCCACGAACTGTGTGGGGTGTGCCCCGGAATTTGAAGTGGAACTGCATGCGAACTTTCCCACTGAAGCCTTCGGTGGAACCCTATTGGGCCATGAACCGTGTGAGGGTGTGCCGAAAAGTGGGGTGGAACTGCATGCGAACTGTCCCACTGAAGCCTTTGGTGGCCCCCCCCCCCCCCCCCCATGGGGCCACGAGCCGTGTGAAAAGCACGTCTAAATGGGGGTGTGACTGCATGCGGACTTTCCCACTAGGGCCTTCGGTGGAACTCCCTATGGGACCACGAACCGTGTGACGGGTGCGCCGAAATGGGGGGTGGAACTGCATGCGAACTTTTCCACTGGGACCTTCGGTGGAGCTCCCTACAGAGCCACGAACCGTGTGAGAGGTTCGCCGAAATGGGGCGGTGGTGCCATGCAAGCTTTCCCATTGGGGCCTTCGGCGGAGCTCCCTATGGGGCCAAGAAACGTCCGAAGTGTGTGCTATGATGATGACGGCGATGATGACGATGATGATGCTGATGATGATACATAATGATCATGATGGTGATGATGCTGATGCTGATGCTGATGATGCTGTCGCTGATGATGATGATGATGATGATGATGATGATGATGATGGTGATGATGATGATGATGATGATGATGATGATGATGATGATGATGATGATGATGATGATGATGTTGATAATGGTGTTGACGATTAAGACGATGATGACGATTACGATGACGACGATGACCATGCCGATGACGACGATGCTGACCATGCCGATGACGACTACGACGATGATGCCATGACGTCGATGACGACTATGACGACGATGACGACGATGCTGACCATGCCGATGCCGATGACGTCTACGACGACTATGACTACTACGACTATGACGACTACGACGACGACTACGACTACGACTATGACGACTACGCCGATGCCATGACCTTGACGATTACGATGATGACCATACCGATGACGACGATGGCGATGACGATGATGATTATGATGCTGATGCTGATGACGACGACGATGATGACGCCGATGCTGCTGATGATGATGCTGATGATGATGACGATGATGACGACGACAGAAACGACGACGATGATGAAAACGATGATGATGATGATGTTGTTGTTGATGATGATGATGACGATGATGATGATGATGATGATGATGATGATGATGATGAACATGGCGACAAGGAGGGCAGAGGCTAGGAGAGGGAGGAGGAAGGAGGGGGAGGAGGAGAAGGGGAGAGGAGAGGCGAGAGGAGACGCGGGGCGGTCTCTCCTCACGACGAGGACCCAACACCTCAGGATTGCAACGCACAGCTCTCAGGCATCCTCCTCCTCCCCGTGTCCCGGAAGCGCCGACTGCGGAGTGCCCCTGAACTCCCACCCACCCCGGCCCCGCTTGAGTCCATCAGGCCCGCGGCCTTCAAGCTGCCGCCGAGGCAGGACACGGACCGGGGGGACGTAGAGGCGCGGGGTCAGGGGGCAGCTGCGGGGTCAGAGGAGAACCGCTCCATAGCCGTAGACCCAGACCCCCGACGTAATGATTTTTTCATTACGTCGACCCCCAGAGGTCCCGACCCCTTCCCCAGGACCGGTTTGTCATCCTGAGTCGTTTTTTGACGCGCCCGAGGCCCGGTGAGGGCCCCCAGAGGCCGAAAATGGCGAAAAACCTCCCGTCGTGATTTTTTCATTACTCGAGGGGGTCTGGGGACGTCCCCTGGAAGAACGACGTGTGAGCATCCGGCTGCGAGCGCAGCGGGCGGCGTGCAGGCGGGCCCCCCCGGCGCCCCCCGACGCTCCCCTGCTGGCCTCGAGAGGCTCCCCGAGCAGTCCGCCACGATCTCAGCACCCTGGCGAGGCCTCCGTGCGGCGCCCCCCGGGGCGCTCCGCGCCCCATTGGGGTGCTGAGCCCTCCCCGGGCTACTTTGGGGGGGCGCATGGGGAGGCCGGGAGGAGGGAGGAGGGAGGAGGGAGGAGGAGGAGGATAGGGAGGAGGGAGGGAGGAGGGAGGAGGGAGGGGGGAGGAGGGAGGAGGGAGGAGGGAGGAGGGAGGGAGGAGGGAGGAGGGAGGAGGGAGGGGGAGGGAGGGAGGAGGGAGGGACCACCGGCTGCGGGTGCTCAGCCCGGCGCCCTGACAGGGCGGCCCCTGGAGGAGAGAACTGCGAGTACGCCAGATCTCGCAACGAAAGGGAGGGGGTCTCAGCCCTCCTAAGACGAGAAGCGTTAGACCCTCCCAGACCATCCATGAAGGGGCGGCCCTTTGCCCAGACCCCCCCGAACCCTCCAAGACAGCTCAAATCAGACTCCCCCCCAAATGTGACCCCCCCGACTCTATTATGGAATCCGGAGTATCCAGCTGGCTTCGTTCTCTGACCCCTCCTTGGGAGAACCCCCCGCTCCATACGGCCCCCCGCATGTACTGAGTCATGAGCACGATGCAGCCGATCCGGTTGAGCAAGAACCTGCGCGCGCTCCGGGAAGCCGCTCCATCACCCCTTCGGATCCCCAAATAATACCTCCCACTCCATGCCCCGGGGGAGGCCAACGATGATTCACGCGGCCGCTGCCGACCCAGTGCTTGGAGGGCTTCAGGGCATGGAGAGATGGGTTCGGGGAGGGGAGGCAGAAGAGCAGAGGGGCTGCGGGACAGGCGGAGGAGGAGGAGGAGGAGGACGAGGAAGAGGCGGAAAGGAAAGAGGACGCGAGGGAGATTGTAATGGGGATGCTGATGGTGAGACCAAGGAACACGACTTCGGGCAGCGTAGCGCCCGCTGCCGTCCTCGCAATGAACCCACCCCTTGGCACCGACCGCAGCAAGCAACAGAAGAGTGATCATTGCCTGGACGAGCAATTCGAGAAGTGGGGCGTCCACAGCCGCTTCCGCGGCGAGCCTTTCGACAACAGTGATGCAACAACCTACAGTAGGCACATGCGATAAGACATCTTGCTCTAAGACATCTCGGGGCACACTTTTCGTCGATCGTTGAGGGCACCACGGCGATCCAGAGCTTCTGAGGGTCCCTGGGGCTATCTGGGGAAGAGAATTCCGTGGTGCTCCTGCTGACAGGCCGATGTCTTACTCCATGCGCCTTCTGTAACACAGCGCGTGAGTCTGTCCGGCTTGGCAAGCTCGGTTCTGGCAGTACGACTTCGCACAGTGAGACTGTCCGCAGTCCGCAGCCACGTCAACGAAGAGCTCCACGACAGCAGTGACCCTTGCGGCGAACGGCGTTGAGGACGAGCGGGAGGACGTTCCCCCCCCCACCCCCGCCCCGATGCTTACCTCCACCTGACGCTCCACCCGACGGCCATCCCTGACGCCCTCCCCGACAGCCAGGCCACCCCGAGAACGTACCGGCCACCATGACGCCCCGCATGAAGCCCCGCCCGACGCATCGACGGCGTCTCCGCTCGGCGACCACACGCCGACGTCCCACCTCTGGCAGGAAGCGAACGGGTGCTGAGGAAAAGGGGTCCTCGACTTGGGTCGGGTGTGGACTCCTACAGGCGGATTTTGGACGGAAGAATCAAAAATAGTCACACACACACAAAACAACAAATGGTCAAACAGAATATAAAATCGTCCCCATACTATTTTTTGACTATTTTTGAATACTCCTCCTGTAGAGGGACATGCCCGACTTGATCCTGGACCAGCTCTGCGCCCCAGGCCACCTGCAGGCACTCCAGAGGCCCATCCAGACTGCCCCTGCAGCCACTCCAGGGGCAGGGATGCCCCAGACTGGAAACGAACCTCGCTGCCAAAAGCCTCCGGACCCGTTTCCCGCAGGCCCGCTCCGCTGCCCGGCGCTGCCCGACGCCCCCCCCCCGACGCCCACCGGAGGTCCTCCCCGAGGCCCCCGCCGCTGCGCGGCCAGCGAGATGCCCGCACGGCCGCGGCGCTCCATGGCCGCCTGCGCGAGCTGCTGGATCTCCGCCCAACACTAGCCAGGTAAGTTTGGAGCTCCTCCCCACGTGCGCCGCGCTCGCTGCGAACCACTGCGGGGTATCTCAGGCATGCTGGCGGCACCGCCCCCGCTGCTCACCGTCACCCTTCTCTCTTGTAGCGCAAGAGGCGTCCCCAGGGCGAGGGGCTGACCCCCTCGGCGCGCAGCTTCGGGGGGGGGAGGGGGGAAAGGGGCGAGGCGGGGCGAGGCGAGCGCGCGGCTCCGCCGAGTGAGGGGGGCCTTTCCGGGCCTGGCGCGGGGGAGCCGGAGCCCTCAGGTCCGCGTGGACGGTGCTGCCTGAAGATCTGGCCCTTGAGGCTGAAAATCTGGCACTTAATGTGAATGCTGCTACAGTCGGGGCGTTGACCTAAGGAACAAGGAACGAGGCCCCTATTTTCCATAAGTTGAACTTCGATTTCGTATCGAAAACCGAAAGAAAATCCAAGGCAAACTGCGAAACAATTAAGGAACACGGAGCCCCTCCCCAACGAAACGGATTCCTTCTTCAGGGCCCCGACTGTAGTCGGATGCTGGAGGGTGGACGTCACCCACATGAAGCGGAAAAGGTCGGGGGGGGGGGGGGGGGGGGCAGGCCCAAGCGCACAGGCCGCCGCCACCGCATCGCATTCCGCGATCGGGGGGCCCCGGTGGGCCCACACCGAAAGGTCCCTCCGGCGAAGGGGGCCGCTCTTCCGTGTAGCCCACTCCCTCCCGCTTCGCTCTCGGGGCGCTCCGGCGGCCGCTCGGGGCCATTCGGAGCTCGGGCAGCACTGGAACGCTCTTGGCGAGGCGCAGCTGCCAGAGCACGTCTCCAGAGCTGGAGAACCGCCGAGGAGAGACGGAGACGCAGCACAACCTCGAACCTCGAGCCCAGGAAGCCCTCGACCGAAGTCCATTCGAAATCGATCCCCTGGACCCTTCCACGTTCCACTCTGGCCACATTTACGAGCTGCGTCCAACCGTGGCGACGAGAACCTCCCAAACCCTCCCCCAAAACACCCAACACCCTCCGACCCCCCCCCCAAAAAAAAACATCGGAAACCGTGGAGGACCGATGAACACGCCCGACGACCTCGATCGCGACCCGACGAGAGCCGCGTCCTCGTCAAAGGCTATCGCGCGTCGCCGAGAGGAGACGGGGCCAACACTCGAGTAGGAGATCGGCTCCAGGAAAAGCGAATTTCCCGTCGGATTTACGGAACAAAACGTGGAACATGTTCGTAGACCTGCAAACAGTATACGTATGTCTTGTAGGTTCGAGTAGACAGCAAGGGGGTGCATCAATTCCGTAATCGATCTCCTACTCGAAGCTCGGCGGCGAGCGAGGGAAGCGAGAAGGAGAAGGCCTTCTCAGAAGGCTCGGAAGTCCCCAAGACTTCCGAGAGGTGTGCTCAGCCGAGCCTTCCCCGAAGACACCGAAAACTCCTGGGAAGGCGCGAGGGCTTCCGAGAAGCCCCGCCGCCTTCCGAGGAGGCCTCCTCCCCCTCACCACCCCCCCCCCCCCCCGGGGCTCGCCGCCGAGGAACACGCCCCTCTCGCCTCTCGCCTCCCCCCCCTCCTCTCACCTCTGCAGGCGCGGCTCTGTCACGCCGTGACCTGCCGTCGCTACTCTGCGCCGACCCCCCCTCTCGCCTCTCACCTCACGCCTCGCCGCCTTCTGCGAAGGCCTTCCCCCCCGCGCCTCCACCCCCCCCCCCGGGGCTCGCCGCCGAGAGGAGGAGGGAGAGGAGGAGGGAGAGGAGGAGGGAGAGGAGGAGGGAGGGAGGGAGGGAGGGAGGAGGAGGGAGGGAGGGAGGGAGGGAGGGAGGGAGGGAGGGAGGGAGGAGGAGGAGGAGGAGGAGGAGGAGGAGAAGGAGGAGGAGGAGGAGGAGGAGGAGGAGGCCGAGGGGCTCGCCGCCGAGAAGCACGCGCGGCAGGAGCGCTGGGCCGCCCGTCGGGGAGCGGCCGCCGAGGCCGGGGGGGGGGCAGCGGCGGCAGCGGAGCGGTCTTCGGGAACGTGTTCATGAAGCCGTCGGCGAAGGCCGCGGTGTAGGTCTCGGGGTCCTCTCGGCCCCGTTAAAACGACGCGAAGATCGGGACAAAATCGGATCGGGATAACTCGAAATCTCTGAGAATCGGCGGGTTTGGAGGATGTATTGCGCGCCGCAGCCGCTCCAGAGCGTTCCGGAACGCTCTGAGAGCGCTCCGTAACGCTCTGGAGCGATTTATCCCGATCCTAGCCCTGTTTTACCCGTGCGGAGAGCGGAACATTTTTTTTGTCGGTTGGTCGGGAGCGGGCCCCTTCCGGTCAAGAGCGAAGCGGGGCGCGAGTAGCCCTAATTGGGGAGACAGGGCGCGGGCGGGCAGGGCCTCAGGCGGCCAGAGGGCTCAGAGTACAGGCGGTGCCGAAGATCTTGGATAATTAGGATAAACACCCTCAGGAGAATCACCTCGACACGCGAAGCCGTTCGGTGAACGCACCGAGAGCAGGAATCGAACAAGGCGGGGCTGCTTCGCAAACGCCCAGGGACGCTTCCCTCCTGGGCTCCCAGCAGTGCCCCGATGTTTTGTATGAACCTGGATATAATCGTAAGGTTGCGCGTAGGGTAAAAACCTGGACCTCACATGGGTTTGATCGTTTGGGCCTCTGGGACTTCTGCGTCGTCTCGGACCAGTGCCTCGAGGCCCTTAGCTTGCTCTGGAATTGGATGCTCGTCTTGGGCACGTTACCTGCGCAGATCAGCCTCACCCCCATGCCCTCCCTCCCAAAGCCCGAGGGGGACACGCGGCTCATCGGGCTGCTGAGCATGGCGGTTAGGATCTGGACCCGTTGTTCTATGGACGTCGCTCGTCAGTGGGAAGCTGCTCATTATCGTACCTGCACTTATGGAGCTCTAGGAAGATCTTGTGAACGGGCCGTTTGGGAGCAGTCGTTTACGAGCGAGAGCGCCGCCTTGACCAACAGGGTGGCTACCAGCTCCTTCCTCGACCTCGTGGAAGCCTACGAGAAAGTCCAGCATGGTGACCTCATTCGGGCGGCCCAGAAGCACACTTTCCCTCTTTTTCACCTTCGGCTTTGTCTAAAGGTCCACCGTGCACCCCGCAGCCTTTTGCTCGGCAAGCGTGTCTCTCGCCCTGTTCGCACCCTTTCCACCACCATCGCGGGTTGCGGTTTCGCCACCACCCTGTTGCAAGTGATGCTGCTGGATGCGCTCGATGTTCGTGAGAAGTGGTTTCGGCATACTAGCCTGTGCAACGTGATTAACGATATCTCGGCCCAGACGCTCGACACGGCCGAGTTTGTTGCTAAAGAGACGTCGGCAGTCACCCCCACTCTTTGCCGCATGCTCGAGGCTCTGAGGCTTATCGTTTCCACCACGAAAGGCAAGGTCACGGCGACGACGGCGGAGGTTGCAGACAGAGTAGTAGTTGGCTTGAACAAGTTGCACTTCAGGTCGATGCGCCACGTGAAAAACCTCGGCACAGACTACACAAAAGGGGGTCGCAGGCGCGCTCAGTTTCAGGCAAGACGGGCGAGCAAGGTGAGGGCCCAAGCGGGTTGGTTTCGTTCCTTAAAAAATCAGTTTCGCAGGCTTGCGATGATTTCTAAGGTCGGCGTCCCGCGGGCTCTGATGGGGTCAGCGTCATCGGGATCTCGAGCAGGCTCCTCTCTAGGCTTCGACGGGCTCTGTGGACCTGCAAGTGGCCGCTCCCGAACTATTCAACATTGGCTTTCGCCTTCGCCCAAGGCCGACCCAGCCTCTGTGGGCAACTCCCTGCCGCCCCTCGCATGGGGGAAAACCTCTTGGCAAAGCTGGGCCCTTCGGTAAAACATGCGCACTGTCTTTGGCATGTTGCTCGGACTTTTCCGTGCTAGTGAGTTTACCTGGTCTGCCGTCAAGGCCCGACGGGCGCCGTGATCATGACTTTTCGTAGGTTTGGTTGTTTTCCCCAAAAGTTTTTGCGCTCGGATTTTGCCCTCGGGCCTTACCCTTGACCTCGAGAAGGTCCGCGAGGTGTCCCTGCAGAACTTCGTCGACCTTGGCGCTGAGGACCTTTTAGCTGGGCAGCTTCGTTGGAGCCACCAGGGCCAGTAGCTCTCTCACCCCCAGCTTGATGCTGTCAGCGAGGCTTGCGCCTGCCTCCGCCGACACGGAGAGGGTCTGCAGGCCAGCCTTCTTGCCACGGAGGTGTTGGATCAGGACCGCCGAACGATCGATGGAAGGTGCCAGTTGCGTCCCGGTGCTCGAGGCACCGCGCAGCAACGACCTTTTGTGCGCGACGGCCTGCAGCCAGGTCGTTCTCAGCCTGGGTCTGAGCAGGAGTTCTGGGATGGAGGAGGGAGGCCGGGGACGATCCTCTCGTGTCCCGCCGCCTCCTCCCTGTCCCCCACCAGGCTCACCCCCCGCCTTCCGGTCACAGGAGCCTGGAGGTGGGACGCCAGACCCCCTCCTCCTCCTCCTCCTCCTCCTCCTCCTCCTCCTCCGCCTCCTCCTCCTCCTCCTCCTCCTCCTCCTCCTCCTAGCCCCTGGAGGTTTGCTCGAAGGCCACGCCTGCCCCGACGGCTCTGCCCTGCTCCCAGAGGCTTCCCCGCTCTCCACTGCCGCGGCTTTGGGCTGCCGCGCTGCCGGGCGAGGAGGAGGAGGAGGGGGAGGAGGAGAAGCGGGCGGGGAGTTGGAGGAGAAGGAGGAGGAGGAAGAGGAGGAGGAGGAGGAAGACGAGGAAGAGGAGGAGGAGGAGGAGGAGGAGGAGGAGGAGGAGGAGGAGGGCACGGCCATAGAAAGGGAGGCAAGCGGACAAGACGCGAGCAAGGGACAACAGAAGAGGGCAAGCGGACACGAAGCGAAGGGGAGGGAGAGCCTACGACAGTCCATCACCTGACCTGGAGCGAAGAAGCGGAACGAGGGTGGGGGCGCGCCAGGCCGTTTGCCGAAGGCGGGCGGCAGCAGCACGTTGGAAGGCTGCGATCCCCTGTCTTGCGCCCTTCAGACTATGGTAAACACTGCGCATGGTGTCAATGTATAGAGCAAGAGAAAGCAACTGCGAAGAAGAAAAAGGACCACAGGGAAACACACAAACAACGTTCCTCGCATCTTCAACCCCATTGGGAAGGAAGGGAAGACGAGAACGCACAGAACGCGCGAGCGTCGCAACAAAAGACATGCATGAGAGTGTCCTGACATGATGCTTGACAAAAGGGACAGTCACGAGTCGGCCCTCTAAACCGACCCGAGGTGCACCAAGCGTTACTGACAGGCTTAAGGCAAGAGGAGGCGAGGAAGGAGGGGGCAACACTAGCGGCACGGAGCAAGAAACGAAACACCTGGTCAACGTCAGCCCTGGAAGTTTCGGGGATGAAATGCACAAGTCTGTCATGCAAGAACTGATGCGGAGAATATTCCCTGCGCCTCAGAAGAGCCCTCTCAGCTTTGCGTTGAAACCTCCGATCACCAAAGACAGGAACCCTGGGAATCTGATTCATGAAGTCATAGTTCCGCCACATCGAAATCGTGATACTGTTCTTCCACCACTCATTCCATGCATGCGTAATCTGGCACTCGTCTGAGAGGGCGAATTCGGACAAGCGCTTGACCGCCTGGTGGAAGGCACTGGATGTGGTCGCCGCCCGAAACATGGCAGCACGAGCAGCACACTCGAATTCCCGAGCACCGATTTTGAAGCCGAGGGAGTCGAGGTTCCGAATGAGGTCGGACGGGATGGCGTTTCGTGGACCATTGGAGAGAAGTTGAAGGGACTGGTTCTCGATGGACTTGGCAAAGTCGGAAGGGGGAGTAGAACTGGGAGACAGGGGACAAGACGGAGAGGGCATGCATGTTGTATCGGGCAACCGACTTAAGCAAACCGAGCCCAAGCCCCTGAATGCTCCTTGTACGTGCGATACATCTCGTGGCAGGAGCAATCCAGTTCTCTTGTGCGCCACCAGGCCCGACAACGACGCCCGGGTACTTAGCGGCACGCTTGAAAATAAAACCCTCCTGAGAGATGCCGTGCTGCTGGAGACGCTGACAGAATTCGTGATAAGACATGGGATGAATCACGACAGTGACGGCCTTGGCTACATTCATATGGAGCCCAGCAGCACGGCCTGCGAGGTCCCAAGCAGGCAGCGCGAGAACTAAGGCGGCGAAGACGTCGGAGCTGGCGATGCCTGCGTCGTCAACAAAGACTCCCAAAACGCCTAGCTGCGGGGGCAAAAGGCACTGCATGTATCGAAGGATCGGGTCGAACCCAAGACAGAACAACGAGCCCGACAGAGGACAGCCTTGCTGAATACCTCGGAGAGCCCAGAACCCTGCCTCTTGGAGCCCACAGAAGTTGATGCTAACCCACGCGCGATGGTAGAGCTTACGCACAGCGTCGACGATAAACGTAGGAACTCCTATGGCGCCCAAGACCCACCCGATCATAGGATGGAGCAAGCTGGGAAACGCGGCTCGAACATCGAAGAAGGCGAGACCCGCCCCCCTGAGACCCATTTGACAATACCATTGAAGAGCCCAAGACTCCAGGGTCAAAATGTTGTCGCTCATGTTCCGATTTTTGACGAAGCCCCTCTGGACGCCAATCGCCGTTTCGCAACACAGGTCGGAGAAATAGTAATTCAGAGTCCGAGAGATCAGCTTATTGTCGCTGTTGGAGAGAGATCGGCCTAGTGACTTCGGGCTTGCGGAAAACCCCTACCGACTGGTCATCGTCCTCCACGCCCTTGGCAAGGAAGATCGCTTGGCAGAAGTTAAAATCGCAAGACAGAGCTCCACCCCGAAGAAGCGAAAGATACAGTGCGTGGAGCAGTCGAAGGCCAGTGGTTCCTGATTTGGTCCATCCCGAATAAGGAATACCATCGGGGCCAACGCCAGAATCGCGAACCTTGGAGGCGCGCTCGCAGAACTCGTCAAAACAGATCCCCCATGGAATATGCCCAGGACATTGAACAACATAAGGAATTAACTGCTCGCGTGCATCCGAAGAGCCCTCTTCCAAGCCGTGCACTTTGCCCCAATGCTCCGCGAGACGGTCAGCGACGATTTTCGGATCCGAAATATGT